TGTGTGTGTGTGTGTGTGTGTGTGTGTGTGTGGCTCTATTTTATTATATAAAAGAATTATAAAGGCTAATATTTGCATGTCTAGGGAAAAAAATTAAAACATATAAAACAGAGTTCTTTCACATTAATTACCACTGCTAGTACTATTTTGTACTATTTTTATAGACTTGTGTATAATTTTGCTTTACATTTTTATTTGTAAATACTTGTAAAAGTAACCTAAATGTATTCTGTGTATGTATAGATATTACTTTACCTATCAAACATAATTATTTTAAGAATGTCCATTATAAGTATGCCATTTTATAACATGTCTCACCTTTACAACAAAAAAATCTGTTTGAAAATCTTATCAAAATTGACCAAATTATGGTTATTTAAGTAGTAAATACACCACAAAATTCATGTTAAGAGTGGGCGAGCTCCCCATCCCAAGATGGCCGCCGTGTGAGTTTATAGGTCTCCATTGGCCAACAGCGGGGACGACTTATCCAGCCTTTATTTATCTATGTGTGTGTGTGCTCTGTGATGAGGTGTGTGTATGCTCTGTGATGAGGTGGGTGTGTGCTCTGTGATGAGGAAGCTCAGTTTGGAGATACAGCGCAGGGGAGGAGCTGATCCTAAAAGGTGGTTCTAGTCCCAACCGGTGGTTTTTGCTCCCGCCTGCTTCCTCAGGACACTACAGGATTATCTAACATGCATGAATGAGTCAAAGTAAGACTCTGGGCATGTTTTTGATGAGAGGATAACATTATAACATGATAGAAAACTCAAAAAAGTTGATTTTACATGATATTGCCCCTTTAAATTCCAGCTGAGATTTAAAAACAGCGCCACGCTTACCGTTCTGCACAGCTTGGACACGGAGCTCTCCCGGTAAAGGATGTAGTCGAGCCGACGTCCGATCCACGGCTCGCCGCTCTCTGGGTAAACCAACGGGAAGGCCTTGGCGGCAACCGGAGGGGAGATGTACTGCTTCCTCAGCTCCTCAGTTTCCAACGTTCTACACAAACAAAAAAAAACACACAAAAAGTATTTAAAAAAATTACTTCCTCACATTAGCGTRGCCACAAACACAACAGAACGGAGAAAACCTTTTTAGGCTTTCTGCAGTTTTCACATCATCTTCGTACAACGTGGGCTGCTCCAGCAGAGTCCCTTCAAGAGAAAACCACAGTTGATTTCTTACTACATGCTGTAAATAAAAAGGCGTTTTTCTAGTTTATTTATTTAAGCAGCACCAACCAATGACCCACGGCTTCTCTCTCCCAGGTCCTACCCTGCAGGGGTCTCTGTACTCCTCAAACAAGATGTGACTTTGCTCCAACGTGTCATCTGATTAAAGAAAAGTGTCAGAACAGGTTTATTAACCGCTGCACCAAATAAGAATTAAACYAGTAAAGATAGAGACGCACCTGGTGAGCAATTGTCGAAGTTGAAATCACCGCAGAGCACATCGAACGCCACCTCCTCCTCCGGCTGTTTGCTGGCAGCCTGAAAATCATCGATCCACCTGGTCACCATGTCCAGCTGCGTGCAGCGAATTTTCCCTTCGCCTGATGAGAACAGAGAGGCTTTCGTGAAAAAAGTGACTTCTTTTTTTTTTTTTTGCAATGAGATGCAAAATATTCACCGTGTCCGCTGAGAAAACCAAATGAGAAACTCACCCTCTGGTGCATGAAGGTGCGTGCAGTTAAAGTAGCCAACAACTCTCTGTCTTTTCTGATTCTGCCCGATTAACAGCTGGGAGATTAAATTAAAAAATAGATTTTTATTGTGTCTGTTCTAAATGAAAACAGACATTTTTATATACTTGTGTTTGGTAGATTATTTCTTTATATTCTGGCAGTTTACTTGTAAAAAACTGTTCTTATTTTTAATAAAAATACATTTTGCTGAGCTTGTAATATAAACTGTGTTGTTGTTCTATTGAGATTAAGACCTAAAACTAGAAGGATTTTATGTTGTAACTTAATGTGTAAAACCCTACAAACGTACAGATGTAGAGGTATAAAATCAGTAGTTTTTTTATATATATACACTTTGCACAAAAAGTCCTGCAAGAGAAAATGACAACCATTAAATGCATAAAACATATCATTAAAGGGATCCCTGGTTAGTTGTAACATTAGACTATTTGATAAACATTTATTTTAACTGTAAAATAAAAACTAAAATACTGTAGGATGTTTAGTTTTTATAATTTTTAAACAAAATTTTAAATAATAAATTACACGGATTAAGGCATTTTATTTACACACAAAGTATTCTGGGTAAATGATAATGTGGATAGGTCCTCGGTGCGAGGCTGCTAGCGAGCTATATCCACCCTGAAGGTTAATCTTGGACAATATCTGATGATCGACTCTTTTAAATGAAACCAGAGAGCGTTGACAGAGAGGAGAAGGTAGAAATGACTCAGCCTGGAACTGAAAATATGGATGGAGGACAACAGAGCTGCTTCATGGAAGAASAACCTCAGCTTAGCCTGCTAGCTTTAGCGTTAGCCCCAACACTATCACCATGTATTAGCTCAGCGCTACACATTCTCGTCTCGTCACTGAGGTCCTCCATCCACATGACAGAGAGGGGAACACAAAAATGACTCAGACTGCAACTGAAAATATGGATGGAGGACCTCAGTTTAGCTCGTTAGTTTGTCGTGCTAGCGCCGAGCTAATACAAATAAGGCAATATAGCATAAGTGGCTAACGCTAAAGCTAACAGGCTAAGCTGAGGTTCTTCTTCCATGAAGCAGCTCTGTTGTCCTCCATCCATATTTTCAGTTCCAGGCTGAGTCATTTCTACCTTCTCCTCTCTGTCAACGCTCTCTGGTTTCATTTAAAATAGTCGATCATCAGATATTGTGCCTATAATCTTGCCTACTGATGGTGGTCAGAGGGTCCGGTGGCGCCGATGCATGGCAGCCCCACCTCTGTCAGTGTGCCCCAGGGCAGCTGTGGCTACAGTGTAGTTTGCCATCATCAGTGTGTGAATGTGAGTGTGAATGGGTGAATGTCTGTTAGTGTAAAGCGCTTTGGGGGTCCGGAGGGACTTGAAAAGCGCTCTATAAGTTCAGTACCAGTACCAGTACCATATTGTCCAAGATTAACCTTCAGGGTGGATATAGCTCGCTCACACTGAGGACCTATCCACGTCATCATTTACCCAGAATGCTTTGTGTGTAAATAAAATGGCTCAGTCCGTGTTAAAATATATTTGTAAAAATTTACAAAACTAAACAGCCTACAGTATTTTTATAGTCTTTATTTTACAATTAAAATACACGTTTATCAAATAAAGTCTAATGTTACAATTAATCGTGGATCTCTCCCCTTTAAAGCTAAACCCAGGGTTAGTTTTTTCARCATGTTTCCTAATGCATACATTTCAACAACTATCTTAGCTCAAGTCAGCATTCTTTTTTTTAGCATCTGGATGTGAAAAGTCTCCTGTTTTGAACGCTAAGAGTGAAGCAACAGAAGAAATAAAGCACCTTAGCAGAGAGGAGGCCCTTGGCAGCCAGTGCGTCTTCCCCGCTGCTGTTGGGAAACCAGTTGTACCGAGCCTCCAGCACTGGAAACCGACTGGCGAGGAACATGCCACTGTTGAAGAACTTAAAGGAGGAACACAGGCAGGGGGGCTGGCAGGCGTACACCCCGACATCGTACAGGATGTGTCCGAACACTGGCTTCAGTATCCTGGTGAGCGTCTGGGCTGCTCTCTTATCAAACACCTCCTCCAGGCACAGTACGTCCAGGTTGACCGGAAAAGATGGCAGCACCTCCCAAGTTTCCTCGTGATGCTCCCGGAGATCCTGAAAGGGCGGATTCAGAGGGGCGTTTTGGGTGCKGCTCTGGCTCTTCACGATGAGTTGACCAATGGTAGACGCCCTGCCCTGGGTGTGGCCCAGGTTGTTAAAGCGAGCCAGGCTGTCCGGCAGGAGGCACAAGTTGGCGGTGGCGAAGGTGAACGACGCCTGTCCCGTTATCTCAAAGCCCCTTTGCGTCTCCATCTCTAGCGACGACGGCACCTCTTTGTGGTAGCTGAAGGGCCTGCGGCAGGCCTGAAGAGGCGCCCAGAGCAGCAGGCCCAGGAAAGCCAGGGGGGCCGTGAGGATGAAAAGAACGAAGAAGAGAATAGAGCCGAAGAAGACCTTGAGAGGGTGGAGGTAGCATTCCTGCTCGTTTCGCTGAGCTCGTTCCTGCGTGGTGGATTTGCACACCGCGATGAGGCGGTCGAGACACCAGAAACAAGGAAAGATTAAAATCCATCCCYCAGAATGGAGAGCTTTAACAAACTTATTAGGAAAGGGAGACTCTGGTAGAGTCATGTTTCTCCACTGCTTCCAAGCAACAAATAAAAGAAAAACAGGCCGGTTTTGGCCTCATTCCTGAGCACAGCTTCTCCTCTCAGAGCTCCACTGGATACTAAAACGAGAAAAATACGGACTTGTTACGACGAGCCWCAACCTCCTGACTACCAGTAATTCAAATTTATCCTCTGTAGAGGACATTTTTAAACCAGAATATCTCTCAACCACTTCATACCACTGAATCAACACATTTTGGTTTCTACAGAGYACATTTAGGGCTTTTCAATGATACCAAGTTCGTAYGGGTGGGGCTTTGGTACCGTTCTCTTCCTCAWTCAGGAAAATGGTGTCTCTCAATGAAAGCATGTTTTATGGGAAGAGGAAAGGTAAATGCATAATACTAGGGCTGGGTGATACATCGATTTAATTGATTAATTKGAATTTGCCATTTATAAAGATTTAATTTTGGGGTCTCTGTAGTTCAGAGGTCACCCCACCTGACCCTCAAGACGCTTGGTACACGACATGACAATATGGCAGCTAGCAAAGAGGATCTACTCCTCAAAAAAGGCAGTGTTTCTTCAGTTTTCTGGAACTGGTTTCACAACCTCAGACTTGGAGCAACAAACACCTCACTGCTAAATCTGTTTAAAGGCTTTTGCTACAAAAAGCAGGAGTACAAGTTTGTTTCGACACCTGAAACAGAGGCACTCCATTGGGTGGGAAACAAAACTGATCAAAATCAATTAAAATCGAATTTGGGATGAAAAAACTTCTGAGACTTTTTTTTGGCCCATATCGCCCAGCCCTACATAATACTTTTTACTGAACAAATTTTGATTTGAAATGTTTTCACATTTTATATAAGTCTCTAATCAACACATTAAAACACTGACTTATTTTAACTTTAGTTTGCATAGTATTTCATTAAAAAATGTCCTCCATAGTGGACATTTGTAGTTATTTCCTTCATTTTACCCTGTTTTTTTTTTTAGGACAAGAAATTGAGTCATTCTGAGAAGCAGAGACAAATTTACWTCAAATTGTTGATGAAAACTCAAATAATGATGTATAATTGGTGTTGATAGGATGTCTGAGTCTGTCTAGAACAAGAAAATTATGCATTGATAAGCAAATTATTCCATTTACTGGTCGTTACCCGGTGTGCCAGTATGCACTGGGCAAACCGACTGTATTGAAGGTGTTTGTCTATTCTGCATCAACTGGGTAGAGACGACACGTAACTGCAGCTCTAAAAGATGCAATCCATCTTCCAGGATGGTGGATAAAACACATGCATCAAGGTGTCGCAGATCTGCCAACGTAAAACACGTGATGTGCAGTGTTAGGTATGTTCGAATWAAGGGAATTACTTTTTAAAGTATCTTACCAAATAAGCACAACAAAGCAAAAAAGAAAAAAAAAAGTGACAAATGACAATTATACAGACGTTGAACTCATTCTTATTTTGGTTTTTTGGTATTTTCTTTGGGATTAATTGATTGCCCTGAAGGTTCAGTTTCACATGTACGGTGTTCTGATGTCCACTGTGGACATGTGATATCTCAAAAATAAAAATTTAATTTTTTCAAAATAAATAAATACATAAATAAATAAATAAATAAATCTGTATTCTAATAACCTTGCAAAGACTGTGGAATTAAAAAAAAGATAATTGGACAATATTTTCTCCCTGGTATTCAGGAGGATATCAAGGAAGAAAACATCTGATATGTCTTTACTACACGGGTTTCTCGTTCTCCTTTAGTTTCTTCCCAGAAAAACAGGTTTGCCTTTTCTATTTTAGCCATGACACAATCAATGTTTGCATGAGATATCAGGAAGGGCTGCTTTTCGACTTCATGCCTGAACAAGAGGCAGATCAGAGTTCTGACATGTCCACGATTCATGGCTTAAGCGAGGTTTACTTTAAATTAAAAAAGAGACAAACAAAAGAAACATGGTGTAATAAGGCTGTTAAAATGCTGAACTACACCTTTTAAAGACACAGTCTGCATTTGTCTAATCAGGGAGAAGTTTAACAAATATCTAACATTTAAAATTTAAAGTTTATATCAGCATAACACATTCATAATGTTTAATATAATTATTTATTTTCTAGTTTTATTGTCAAATAACAGCAGATTTAATGTGTTGTATTTGTTTTATTCTGCAGATTTGAGTTTTGATTAAAATTTACACTAGTTTCTTTGTTCCTTACTGCTAAACACAATAGTAATAAGTTTTCTGAACACTCAGTTTTAAACTTTACCACACTTTATGCCCAATCATGTGTCACCGTGTGTGCTCAGAAACAAACAGGTGGGACACAGATGTGCAGGTAAGCTAACAATTTGACTTACCATTCACAAATATTTTACTTTTTTGTGTTGATAAAGAACCACTAAGTCACTGCATTGATATAAAACTGTGAATTACTACACTTAATACACGGTTTATAAAGTAGGAGTATAGTTCTCTTACTACAATGGCTGTCACCTGTCGGCTAGCTTAATAAAAAAAAACACCTCTTACCTGACGAAAAGTGGCACTGTCCGGCCAAAAAACAAAAGAAAAACCTGTCTGCGCGCTTGTTGTGTTACATATTGAGTTGTCGTGAGCTCATTGTAAACCCACAGGATTTAAACCGAAACCAAATGACCAGACGAACAAAAGTAAAATCTAGTTTGAAACTCGTTTCCTCCCCGGATGCTATCATGCTAATCGCGGGGTGGCATTATTAGGCCACGCCCCGGTGCGGTTGCCATGGTGAGGGGCTAATGTCTGATCTCTCCTGCTGATTAAAAAAAGTAGCTAGCTGCAGATTTTTGAGTGTTTTTAGTTTTTCATCCTAACAAACCAGTCTTCTGTGTTAGTTAGTGCTACTACAGGTATGTTTTAATGTTTAACCGGTGATTAAAATTACTTATTAACTTCTGCAATAAAACAAAAACCTCAACTTAGTAAGCTTCTATAAAATGAGTGAAGCTAAAGCTAACAAAATGCTAAAGCTAACAGTGAAATGCTAAAGGCTAGGCTGACGTGTTTGTGAGATTATTGCAGATTTGTTGTCAAAGGAATGAAGATATTCTTGTTGTGACACAACTTAGTCCATTTTATGTTAAGCAAGATCACGTCTTAGATGTTTAATCTTCAATGTCCAGTCTTATTTATTTATTTATTTATTTATTTATTTATTTATTTATTTATTTATTTATTTATTTATTTATTTATTTATATTCTGGACTAATGTCTTAAAATATACAGACTTGTTTTCATTATGAACTCTCCTTGGCTTGTAGGTTGAGCAGTTGTCAGCAGTGGCGGGTCGAGGATTTTTCTGAGTAAGGGGCCATCAAGGGGCCACAATATTCATGGAGGGGCCAAGTATGTGTTCAACATCCTTTCACACAAATCACCAGTTTAGGTAAGTTTTATACATTTAACCAGTCATACACGTTCAAACACTTGTAAGGTAATGTAATACTTTTTAAAAAAGATACCACTTTACAATAAGGCGCCCCTTATAGATAATTTGAAAGAGTTTATAGATAGGTTATTTATCTGTAAACACTATAAATTATTAATAAGTGTTTATTATGCATTAATTAAGGGCAAAAAAGAGACTAAACTGTCTGGTTTCTTTCCAAATAATGAGCCAAATCTGTTGGTGTATTAAATATTTCAGATGAATTTACTAACTTGTAAGCACAATAATGATTAGGAACCACATATTTTAACATGTAAAACTGTATTTTATTACTGCATTATTATCCACAAATATTAAATGGATCCTTATTATAAAGTAAAACTGTACACTGTTTTGGATGGGGTGAGATTATTTGGAGATTTGTCTCATTATTTGGTAAGAAACTGGACAGTTTTGTCTTTCTCGTCCTTAATTATTGCATAATAAACATTTATTAATGATTTATTAAGTGTTTGCAGATGAATTAGTAACCTATCTAAAACCTCTTTATAAGTCATCTATAAGGGAAGCCTTATTGTAAAAAAAAATCTTGCACAGTTCTCCTCACCAGTTTTTCATACATTTTACTGTACATAGATAAAATATTCTCAAACACACAACATGTGAGAAAATCCAGCCATCATTTGTCAGATGAAAGACTTTTTTCCCCAGGATTGTTCAAATTTTCTTAAGAGAAAATTAACTTGTTTCATTCTGGACTTCACTATTTGACTCATTAGCGCCACTAGTGTTTGAACATGGAACTGCACCCACCATCATCACTCCCAGATGAAGGAKAGATGAGTGACATTTCTGGAGGCCAATCAGATTTTAGCTGGGGCCAGTGTCCCTGTGGCCCCGCCCCTAGAAGTCTATTATATTTAAAATGTGCTTTATCCTTTATTTTAAAGGATAAAGAATAGTGTATTATTAATTAAAAATAAAAAATCTGGGTTTACTTTTAGGTTTTTTTGGTTTAAATAAAAAATTTTTAATTGTTTACCTTCATTTAACCATACAAATCCCACTGAGATCACAGATCTCCTTTGCATGGGAGGCCTGGGCCTGAAGGCCACTTGACATTTGGTCTGTGGGAGGAAACTGGAGTACAGAGAGAAAACCCATGCAAACACGAGGAGAACATTCAAACTCCACACAGAAACACCCCAGGTGGTAACTGGGCGCCGCATCAGACCCAGGACCTTCTTGCATCAGTGCCAACCACTGAACCACTGTTTTGCTACTACCGTTAGTTTGCTAACTCCTAATCCCATAGCTAAACATGTGGCTTCACTAACACTAAACATGTAAATGAATCAAATTGAACAGAATCTAATTATTAACTGCTGTGAGAACTTTATTCAATTCTATGATTTGGCTGATTATGGTATTTTATCAGTTATGTATAGGGCTCATAAAAACACATTACCTTCAAACATRCAGTTACACTTTGTTAAAAGAGAGAGTTGTTATAATCGCAAGGGGATAGAGATGTTTGTTAAACCTAAATTTAGAACCAGTTTAAAGGAACAGAGTACTTCAGTCCTGGGTATAAGATTATGGAATAATCTGGAGGATGACGTTAAAAATACCAAATCGTGTGTATTTAAGAGAATGATAAAGGTTAATTTGTTGGAGAAATATGTAAATGTATGAATTGTTGTTCAAGTAGGAGTTAAACTTTTATAATTTTTCTTTCTTTTTTTGTAATCTGAAGATTATTTTTGATTGAATTAATTTATTTGAGAAAAAGGGCCAGATATAAGATTTTTTCTTCTTCTGCTACTTGTCATTTAATTTACAGTATGACTTGTGTTTTTGTTGTTTATTGAATTTATGTTGTTGTTTTTTTAAAGAAAATGAATAAACTTAACTAACTAACTAACTAACTAACTAACTAACTAACTAACTAACTAACTAACTAACAACAATCTCCTTTGAGCTGAAGACTGGTGGGACTGACACAAACCTGTTGATGTTAGCTTGTTATCTTTTAGCAGACAAAGTAGTCAAACTTAATTTAGTGGAAGCTGATTGGTTCGTTAGCCAAACCACGCCCACCAAACTAGAGAGTGCAGCAGCAGATGTGTGGAATCAGACGCTTGCAGTAAATTCATTGCACTTCATATTTTATTGCAGCTGATCTTCACTTCGTGGGCCGTCCTGTCCCGGTCTGTTGAGTGTTTCTGGACGACTACCAGAGAAGAAGAGGCTTCCCCTCCTGCTCTGCCATGCAGCAGAGACAGTCGAGCAGCACAATCAGGTCCTTCTGAAGTTGCTTCGGAGCCGTGCTCACGATCAGCCTCCTCAGGAAGTTCGGATCGTTGCATTCAGCCTCCTGGATGCTGTTTTCATTCTTTTTCAGGATGCCGTAGGAGTTGATGATGAACTGGCAGAAATGAGGGTGGAGAGCGGGTTTGTACCCGAGCTGGCTCAGTCTGTCCAAAAGCTCTGCGTACCTCTGCAGGAGGTGAAACTGGTAGCCCTCGTCCACCATCCCCGTCAAAGGGTGAGTGCTCACCTGCAACACAGGAAGAATTTCCTCACTTCCACAGGTTCTCACAAGAATGGTTGTATTCGTGCCTTCCAGGGTTATTATAGTGAACTAAAACTAACTAAATAAGGAAAACTGAAATTAAAAAAATATTTTAGTCAACTAAAACAACTAAAAACTGTAATAAAATGAAAAAATGATAACTAATTAAAACTGTATAATCTTTTTACAAAACTAACTCAAAC